ATAACTTCATTATCCTTTTCAAAAGCACTACTAAATTTTAAGGCAAAAGCAAAACTATACAGTGTACATGAAGACAATAGAGCTCTTAGTTATTATATCATTTTTTTTCACTTTGGTTCCATAAAAGTCTGAAGGCTGAGCAAAATTCTCTTTATTGTACTTGGAAGGCATAAGTAAAAAACTGAATTAACTCTGCTCTGTTTTCTTACAAATGTCATGCAGGCAGGCATGTCAGGCATTACTGCCAGCACCTAACGACCGCGGAATCCCTGGAATATGAACACCATATTTTCATCTAAGCTCAATCGCCTTTCAGGCCCCCGTTATTGATTTTGATGTAGTCTGTACTAAAAGCGAGGAGGATGCGAGAGCTCGTCCTCTCGGCAAATTGGCAATAGGGTAGGTCGACCGTCTCTATCAGCCTCATAAAAATAGCCTGTGGATACTTAGAGGCTGCTCGGAGAGAGATCAATATCACCAGCTATTGCTTGGTGTCTAGAACGAGAGCACGATGGAACCAACGCAAGGAGGGAATATGAAATGCCAATTTGATGAGAAAGATCTTGTGACCTTCGGGAAAAAGAGCATCAAATCCCCCATCAGGTAAACTGCTTTACAGCTATGACGGAGAGTTCGATTCGAGCAACTAAAATGATGCTCAAGTATTGTCATTATTCCAAAGCTAAGATATGATTTCCGATTTGTGATATCGTAAAAATACTCTTGGTAAATTGGCAATATATCGTAAAAATACTCTTTAGCAAATTGGCAATACTGGAAGTGACGTGCTGTTATTGATATTTCAATAATGCGTGAATGTCTCTCTATAGAACATGAGCTCAGGTTGCTGAAGGGGGAAGTGTGTGAGACAAAGAGGCCATGTGAATTCATACATACAATCAAAATGTTTTGAGGGAGTATATGAAATCAATTCAGATTGACGGATTTAAATTGATGTTTGTGTTGGAATGGAAATAGGCATTTCTCCACAGTTTGTCCTTTCAAGCCAGTCTTTAGGATAGGAGGATAGGAGATTCTAGGAGGGACAGATCAACAAATGCTTGAAAGGAACGCTGCATGTAGAATACAGTGACAAATTATGTCTATCTTGGAAAAGATGTTAAAATGAAGTCCTGGGTAGCTAGTGGGTACACAATTATTCTTGAAAACCGGAGGAAGAAACATAGAAGTCTAATACATAGAGCGATGAACAGAAATATTAAACCAGAAAAGAGAAAGATTGGGTAGAAGAGAGAGAGGAAGGAGGTGCAGATGGGGGTTAGAGAGACAGGGAGGGAGGGAGAGCAAAGGAGAGAGAGAGAGAGAGAGAGAGAGAGAGAGAGAGAGAGAGAGAGAGAAGAGGGAGAAGTAGAAGGGAGAAAGAGAAGAGAGAAAAGAGAGAAGAGAGGGAAGAGAGAGGAGAGCAAGAGAGAAAAGGGGGAGTAGAGAGAAATGGGCAGACAGTAAAATAGGAAGGACACAAAATCAAAAGAGAAAACTAGAGACACTAAAAGAGAAAAAGATGAGAAGAGAAGAGAGTGAGAGACAGAGATGAAAAGTTTTCCATCAACTAGTTTAATTCTATTCAAGTCACGTTTTGCCTGCCAACCATCTCGTCATGGTGAAGACGTCTTCATCGCTTCTCTTTCAGGCTTCACTTAGCTCTTGAACTAAGCAGGAGGAACACCCCGCACACACACCTTGTCGCAGGAGCTCAACTTTACTAAACTCTTCATCAGTTAGCTCCAAAGGGAAGGAGTGTCAAAGGTCATCTAGGTGTGTCAAAGGTCAAGTTTTAAATTAACCTAGTAAAGTGAAACCTGTATATAAAGACCCCTCAAGGGAAACATGAAAAGTGGTGATACAGTGGTCTTTATAGACAGGTAATCTTTCTGTACAAGTTCCTTTAGTACAGGTGAGAAACCATATTCAAATGAAAAGTGTTGTCTTTCTATACAAGTGGTCTCTAAAGCAGGTTTGTATGTAAATAAAAAGACAGACTAATGTTGTATGCTTTTTCATATATCAGGTAATGAATTTGTCTGAGCATTATATCTTTGATAAATGATAAGATATGCAATACTGGCTCTAGTCTGACTCTCTGCAGAAGAAATGTGTGGTTTATCTCTATCCTTTTTTAAGTAGCCATATCTCTGTCTATATGAGAAGGACATGTCATTTTTTTTAGCAATGCATGTACAACCTTTCCTCACTCTGTGAAACTTCCACAATACTTTCATGATATTTTGAACATTGTTGAAACTATGCCGTGAAGGAAGCCTGCTCATGAAGATGTGAGTTGTGTGTAGGCTACCTTTGAAAACAAAAAAAAATAAAACCAAGAAAAAAAACATACATGGCACAAAAGAGAGAACACAGATGAGAGAGGATGGCAATTCAATTATGTTCAATTATCAGGAACAGAAATAGCTGTGAGTTTGGCAGTGAGGTTAGAGAGAGTCCCACAGGGCACCGTAGTAGGTCCAGGTCAATTCTTCCTGGGCTTCTTTCATTCACAGCACCTTGTAATGTGAAGCTAAATGTAGATGTGTAGTCATGGCCTGTGTGTAGCCTAAAACATGAAATAGAAATGATGTGGGAGGGGGGAGGGGTAGTGGGCAGGAGGCTACACTGTCCTTGCATATGGTTGGTCATCTATATGTCCATTTTGCACTTCATCTCCCAATAACTATTCCATCACAAATTATCTCTGTTTAACTTAGAGATAATGTCAGCTGCACATGTACCTCCTTGTGATGTCTCAAGATCGGGGGGGGGGGGGTGAAATCTTATTCAAGATGGACAGGTTCTTCATGTTTTGAGATTTTATTACAACACACATGCTGGCTGCAATGACATCAACATCAACTTTTCACAGACATTAGGGTACAAGGCAGCCCCTCTTCCGCAGTGTTATCATCTTGGACACCGTTTGGTTTCGATGCACCTCATCTCTTATGGTGTTATGTCATCTCCATCTCCCCCTCTCTCTCTCACTCCATCCCTCTCTCTCTCTCTCCATCTCCCCCTCTCTCTCACTCCACCCCTCTCTCTCTCTCTCTCTCTCTCTCTCTCTCTCTCTCTCTCCATCTCCCCCTCTCTCTCACTCCATCCCTCTCTCTCTCTCTCTCTCTCTCCATCTCCCCCTCTCTCTATCTCACTCCAACAATCTCTCTCTCTCTCTCTCTCTCTCTCTCTCTCTCTCTCTCTCTCTCTATCCCTGTAACTTTTCACACGACGCTGAGCAAACAGACAACCCACTACCAAGTGAAGAGAGGCTAACCTATAAGTGGAGACCGATATTAGGGCCAAGTCAATATTTTGAGCAGCCCCAAAATTGAGGTCATGTCAATACTTTGAATGAGGGAAATTACAATCACAACTTCGGTACAAGATGGATAAAACAGACAAGGTACATTTCCTTAAATATATTTTGTTGACATTGGCATAAAGCAGCATCATTATGAAGGACAACTCTGTGTCCAAGGCGGCTGAAAAAGCTAAAAACTCTTCGACCACTATGGTTATCCAATGTTTGCTTTTGCGACATTTCTTCATAGAATTCTTTCTTTAAAGATACGTAAGGTTACAATGTAGGTTTACGGTTAAGGTCCTGATAGGGCTTTAGGTTAGGTTTAGCCTTAGGGTTAGGTTTAATGTTGGATGAAGAGTTGAAGTTTGGGATTTGACAATTAAATAGTACAGAATTGACTGTAAAGCAATTGAAGTCAGAACATGTAGAATTGATGTTTCAACAGTCATGTTAAATTGCTAATAGCTGAACACAGACTAAAGCTTACTGTAAATTCATACAAATCATCAGCAATAATATATGTTATATTTCAAACATTAATCATATCTAGATTTTTTGTGTTAGCAAACAAATAAATTCCTGCTTATTTCCCTCTCCTTCAAAAATAGTTTTCATAAAAACGTCTGATCACTCATACTTTTCTGAGCATTGACATCTGATTGATGAGCAATTGGGGGCTACTTTTAATATCCGTGTTTGATTTCCTTAGGGGTAGCGAGCGCAGGAGAAGAATGTTCGCTGAATGGTAGCAAAGATTCCCGGGTGATGAACTATGTGCCCTCCTATGTGACTCGGTTATGTTCCCCTTAGAGTATGGAGCGATACATCACTCCACACTCAACCACAATCATCACATGAGATATCCTGCAGGAAAGGGGAACAATTCTATGTATGCCATACCAAACATTGTACACTGTTTCTAGCCCACCGAGTCACTGATATGACACTGTCATTAGTTCACTACCCAGTTAAACCAGAGAGAAATTAGAGAAACTTTCACTCCATGATCTATATCCTAAACCAGGGCTCCAGACTAACAGGCCCTCAAGACACATGGGCACCCAAATTTCCCAAAATCTAAGATTTTCAAGTTTTTACATAGGACTCATGTGTAAAGAGTGTAAACAAAATTAATCTTCACGCCCTTCCAAAAGAGTGAGTGTAGAGCCCTTTCTAAACTAATCAAATTCTTGACTTCAACTCTGGACCTAACCCTAACCCTATAACCTGAACCCTAAACTGATATTCGTGAGGGAATAATGGTTAGGGTTAACAAACGTTGCTAGAGAACACCATGCCAAGGCAGTTTATCACTCATGCTCTGGTGACTATTACTAGACAGTCAATATCATAAACTAACCAAATTCTTGACTCCAACCCTGGTCCCAATACTATCGCCTTGGGCGTGTTAGGCTGTTCCAAAGGTACCTTGTGTGGGTAATTCTTACTAATGCCCTCACTGCTGTGTATTATTTGTTTTATAAGATTATATTTTATTTGTTTTATAAAATGGACTAATGACCGGTCATTAGCATTTTATAATGACTGGTTATTATCAAAATTACGTGTTAGGCCAAATAAATGCCTGGTCACGTGTACGCTCTCAGCCAATCATTTGATTAGGATCCATGTCATCATCTTATAATACACCATACCGCAACCTGAATAGTCCTGAAGTTAAACTTACATTATTCATGTTTGACAAAGAACAGTCCACGGCAAACGTTGCTGGAGCGTATACCAGGGCATCTGCCATCTTCCTTAAATGATATTCAAGAAGAGAATGAGTGAGACTTAAAGGGAAGGTTCAGTTCTGGGAAGAGGTGAAAAATAATTTGTGAGCGTTATCATTGTTATTATGCAAGTGTGGAAGAACATTAGATAAAACATGTTCCCTGAAAAGCATGGCTCTTCAAATGCTTTCATATTCTAAATATGACATGTAACATTGTAAAAATCGGGACAGATTTTTACGTCACTTGTTTGTGTAGTCCCATATAAATCTTTCTGTGTATAGTGCTTGTAACTTTACCAAGACTTGGCTAAATTTCTTATCATTTTGATGATTCCAGAACCTTGCAATACACACAATTACTTATATGCTTTCTGATCGATTCCACATCGTTTCTTTCACAATGCAATCGCATGACCAGAACTCAACTTCATCTTTAAGGTAACATGACGCCTGCCTGCAAAGAAAGTACACTGGCTTCTGGAGAATGATGAGATGTTTTCATGCCGTATCATATTAGATCTCATAATACCCCTAGGCATAGAGCATCTTTCAATGTTAAATTGCTCTGTATGTGGGGGAGACATGTCAAACATGTCTCCAGTCCCACAAATATACTAATTTGTATTCTTAAAGGGTGAAATATCTTCTCAACCTGCTTCTTTTGAGGGGACAGACATCACTCATGTTTTATGTCTGATTGACTAGTGACATTATTTGGAAAACAAAAATACAAAAAAAAGTGAACATGAAATGCATTGGGGGAAGATGACAAAATAATTTTAAATGCAGAGATTACTAATAATTTGCTAGAAAATGAAACACAAATAGGTCTCATCCCCCTTCCCACTCCTACACAGAAAAAGAAAGACAAGTACCATGGCAACAGCACATGTTAACAAGTTCTTCTCTGGTAAAAATAGAGATAATTCCCCCGAAGAAGAAAACAAAATATATGAATTAATAAAAATGTAATTTCTTAATTGTCAAAAAGAGCTCCTTATGAGAGACTAATAATAAATCAATGAATGTTAAGAACATGGAGTATACCTGAAATCGGGATTAATGAAGAAACAAGAAAATTAGTGGGCGAAAGAGAGGGTGCAAGCGCGCGTGTAGAGGGAGAGGGGAGAGAAAATAATTGAAGAGTTTTCACAGTGTGATTTGATCAGGTACTTGGTGAATAATAACCAAATCTCATATACATATTGTGAATATTCTGTAGAAAGATGCTTTGTGAACTAAGAACAAACAAAAAAGATAAATATTATTTCACCCCTGCACTATTATACATGTAGCTCTACAAGGTATTCAAAAGCACTGTGTTGTTAAAGAAGGAGATTTGAGTTTATTCCTGGCTATTATGAAAATATTAGTGTTTCCCAGGTAGGTCAGGAGATTATCATCACTAGGCCTGTCTTCATCAGCTCCAGATTGCCAAATATCCTGCTATTTTAATTATCCTGATCGCAAATTATCAAGCTAATTTGCATTCTCATCAGCTTGCAGTTGCATTTAGCGGGATATTTGGTTGAAAAAATATCCATAGAAATCTTGGTCTTGTTTCCAAAATATCCACCTATTTGGGAAACAGCGGGCTAATTTGCGCCCGTCCAAGCTAGTTAGTGATGAGCGTATCAATCTGGTGATGACGCAATTTCGAGCTTCGGGATAATATCCCGAGTCTGAAAATAGTGGGTTATTTGGCAAACTCAAGCTGATGAAAACAGACCTACTTGTCTCATCTACAAGGGGTCATGTCAATATTCTTCACCACTACTATTCTTGAATTCTACTCAGGATGGAGAACATATTTCACAAAGTTTCACAAGTTCACCCAGAAGGTTCAAGACTGTGAATAAAGGGTGACAGTTATAGAACTTTTGATGAAACTGTGACATCTGACCAAAAAATGGGGGGAAAAGGAAATAAAATAATCAAAATCCAGACCTTACATCGAGCACAAGAATGCACTGTCCTATGGTGTTTTTTTTCTAGAAACCAGTATCTGTTTCTTTCTTCTTATTTCACTGGTTCAAGCAACCCATCCAATGCCTGGTAAATAATTGAGAAGTTGCTTTAATTTCCATCTGAGATTAAAATCACAAGAAGTTTTTTCTATCCTTTCAAATCAATCGTCTGAAAACAGCCAAGCAAATGAACTTGAATATAATACTAATAGCAATAAAGCTTCAATTCCATTTTCAACTGCTCCATCCACGAAACAACCTGCACCATACTGTCAAATCATCTTCAACTTTTCTGTCCAAAAAATTCCTAATAATAGAAGCAAAAAGATTGATCATTGCTGAATGCCAGTCCTTTTGATTGTCAGGGTGAATCAAACTGCAGTTTATGGTACGTTAGCCACACTCCAATAAACAACAAGATTTTACAACAGAACAAGGATTTTTTGGGGAGAATAGTTTCCATTAACTTCCTTTTTACAACAGAATAAGGATATATTGGAAAATAGTCATTATCCAACCTGCTTCACTTCACTGCACTTGAGCTTGCTTAGAATAGAATGATAAAGGTGCATTTATTCATATAAAAGATCTAGTATCACAGATTTGCTCACCTGCAATGTCGTGTACAGCTTTCTGAATAACTTTACACAACAAATTGTGGGTGTACAGTATGCGCTTCAAGAGGAAAATAAGTATTCCATTTCATTTACTAATGTAAAGTGCTTCGGGCATGTTTATCTTAAAAGGCACTATATAAATATCAATATGTATGTATGTACATGTATGTACATGTATGTAGGTTGTAACAATAACGATAAGGAGTATAATTGAATGCTGAAGGATTTGTTACTTCTCAAGGTTTTACATTTTAAGTTGCTTTATTCACATAAAAAATAGTTTACTAACTGCAGATTACTCTATGTACATACATACTACAAGTCTACACATCACTCTACATGTATGTTGTGATTAAAGTTTGATGACAAATTTGTCAGATTCTTCAACGTATATTGGTCAAAATTTTCGTTTAAAAATGACCACTTTTTCAAGCAGCACAATAAGATGTTAATCACAAGAAAAAGATGTACATCTTGTATTTATAAGAAGAAAGGACCGAAAAACCTAGTAAATGTGCCAAGAAATAATACACAAAAGAATTTGCTCTCAAAAATAACATTTGAAGAGACTGTTGCTAAGTGATAAAGTTGCCTAAATCAAAGCCTAATTTTAAGTTTATTCCTTGGTTCCACAGCTAAATATTGGGGGGATTTGAAAACAGACCAGCTCTTTTCAAATCTTTAAAAGTCTAGAATGAGTATTTGTGTCTTGCCTATATGTCCATGTACATGCATTCCTGAGAACTATACATACAAGATTATGGACTAAATTTGTGAGGGTTGCAATAAACTGAAGTCCCTCCCATCTTCATGCTCCAATACAGCAAGGCAATACAGCTTAGTTCCACCATTCCTTTCATGTCCCTATAGAGGATTTGTGCCCCCCACCCCCCCCCCCTTCATGCTACTATCAAATTTATAAGGAAACTGGGTTACATAATGGAACTTGGTTACATAACTAAAGGAAGATGAAAGAAAGGGTCAAGTGAGGCTTGACCATTGTCCAGTCTGTTAATCCAAGGGGGACCATACAACAGATTACCAGTGACATGCAACAAAAGCTATCAGCGTGTCCACACACAAAACAATTTATCGCGAAACTCTATAACGATACGTCGTATAAAGAATCATCGTATAAATTCCAGGATGTCCACACACAAGAAACGTCGTCACTAAAGAATCATCGTATAAAATGCCCCCTGTCCACACACAACATTTTCCGTGATTCTTTATAGAGTTTCGCGATAGTGATAAGAGGTCTGGTCTCATTTCGCTCGAGGTCACGTTAAGCCCCGCCCAGTTAGTTACACTAGTTACACTCCCCCAGGGGATCCCCCTGTCCACACACAACATTTCCGTGATTAGGCGTGATTCTTTATTGAGTTTCAGTTCGAAACGATGCCCAAACCTGCGTTTCGTTAGACTAGTTTCGTTATACGACGTATCGTTAGTGAGCGTCCACACCTACAATTTTGGTCGTAAAACTATCGCGAAACGGTATCACTATCGCGAAACGGTATAGCTAATCATGATTAGTCACGGAAAATGTTGTGTGTGGACAGGGGGTATGATACCTACGTGTATACAGAGTTTACTGATGGACATACTGTAGGCCTCACTGTACTTAAATGCATCTAGATTGACACTGATGGTTATTGTTGAGAGTGGAGATGATGTACATTACTTCTACTAAATCATCCTCATCAAAGGCATACAGGTCAATAACTCAATACAACCTTTGCACTCACTCTCTCAATGGTGGAAATCATGAAGTAGGAAACAGGCTCATAGTTTCTAGATATTCCTAAAGGTAATACAAAGCTTTGGGAAATTTTGAAAATTGGGTGGATAGTTATTCTTTACAATTTTGATATTTTTGGATGCCCCTGTGGATGTATTAAAAGCACAAGAAATATTAGCCCCTAAGACACTTCTGCTTTCGAGAAAAATTGAATATAAAAATTTACCAGTGCTCCCGGTAAATTTTGATAAATTTCAAGTAGCGCCTACGGCCGTACATTGGTAGCTGCGACCATGAAAATCTCAGAATATGTAGTTGTGATATATAATTTTCAAACGAGAATAGCTAATCGGTCGATTTTAGTCAAGAAACGCCTTTTTATAGCTTAATTTATATCTTGACCTTGAGAGGGAGCTATACAACATGAAGAGTTTATTATTTACAATTTCATAACTTTAGACTTGATTTCAACCGCGACAACGATCACTGAATATTGTAGGATCGCATATGCTTCCAATATGTTCATTTGAACCAAATTCATGACCCCATACCAAAACTTTGTATTACCTTTAACAGTATAATCTAGAAACATTTATATGCATTCATGAATCTTGCTCATTCATGACTGAGTGGTCATGCAACCCGATACATGCATCACAAACCTACCTTATTCAAATCTACTCCACCCCAATCCGATCTT